GGACACAGCGGCCTCTCCTGAGACCCACCTCAGTCCCCTCCTGCAAACTTGTCGCTTCACATACGGTTGTAACTGCCTCACAGGCGCTTTGCAATTAACTGTCCATTTCTTTCCTGTTGCAGGGCGTACCAGAATAGCTTAAAAACAAACAACTCCGTCTGTCTGTATTGTTTTTTTCCCCTCTTCTCCCCAGAATCTCTCGGATAGGCTACAGTCGAATTGCTCTGTCTCCCTGCCTGCCTCACAGTGCAGCCAGCTCCGGGGGGAAGATGAGGGAGCGGAGTACCTAGGTACAGCACGCCTGTGCTGGAAGCCTGGAGCTGGTGGAATTGAAGAATATTTGGACAGCCCCTTTCTTAAGGGCTGCATGTGCCCGGGGTTCAACCCCATTTGGGCAGAAGAGGATCTGGGTGAATGAATAAGAGAGGCCTAGAAGGAGAAGAGGGAAAGCTGAAGCAGATGACTGGGTGTTGGGAGAGCTGGCTCGATGCTAGTTTTGCTGAAAGCTCCTTCTGTTCCCCTAGGGAAATTTCTTTCTTTATTTTTTCTTCCACTTTCCTATTTAAGCAAAAGAGGGAGGGAGAGTAAGTAAGTATGTGGAGACAGGTGCAAGAGGAGTGGGAGTTTAGGTCACAGATATGATAGGATATATTGAGAGCATCAGAAAGTGTCACAGAGGGACAGAGTTTATTTAAATGATCTATAATCTTGTAGTTCCTGCAGCTGTAGACAACCTGCCCATGAGAACAACGTGTGTTTATATGTACCCTTCCCTTAATTCAAAGAATACTGTATGTGTATATATATGGTAGCACTCAGGTTGTTTGAGTATGATGACTTTATGTGACCTGTGAAATTAAAAATATTTTTTAACATTATTTTTTGTCAAATATATGTTTACAAGTGCACTGAACACAAATACAGGGCATGTTTAAACCATTCTTTATAGTCCAATAAAATGTAATACTTGGTAAGAGGAAAAAAAAAAGTTGTTTTTCCCCTATGATGTTTTAATCTAAAAAGCCTTTTCTGAGATGGAGGCAAGGAGGAAAACAGTGTCATCACATGAGTCTGCATGATGGGCCCAGTGTGTGTGTGTTTTAAAAAGTTGTGTCAGTGCCATAGGGAGTAATAGGAATGAGCCAAGGCTTCTGCTTATTTTACTCTGTTGACTTTGTTCTTAGTGGCTAAAGCCAGTTAAAATGCTCTGCAATATTTTTCTTTACGCAGAATTGTTCAAAAGCAAGTTGTAGCTAACTAGTGAGACATGTCACTCTTTCTCCATGTCCCATAAGTTGTAGATGTGCTGATACTTTTCCAGGCAAGAGGCAGTGCAGAATAAGCCAGTGTGCTGACTGTGTGTGACTTAGTACAAAGCAAGGAACTGATCAGTCTGTGAGCTGTCCAGATTAAACTGAGCTAACCAGAGATCATTAGTTCTTCACTGTGTTTTGATATCTAGAATCCTCAAAGTGAAAAAAATACTTACTGTTTGTGCAGCAAAGGGTGCTTTGGATTCACAAATGTAGAACTTTGGTTTCAGTAGGGCTCTATGTGGTAATCTGTTATGTAGAACTTGAAGTGAAGACTTGTATGCTGAACAAAGTGATTTTAAAATAATTCAATGTACACATCTGTTACCTTCCCTTTTTCTCTCCCTCTATTCCTCCCTCCTGTGCCTGCAGTGATCTGGCTCCACGGTTGATATCACAGCACTACAGCTGTATTTGCTGAACTGATGCTCAGCAACTTTGGGGAACCGCCAGGAAAAAAAATGAGGTGGATCTTCCTGTTGTATTGAATACCCTTCTGACTGAGATCTAGGGTACTTGGAATGTGCTAGTGGAGATTTCTGGTTCCTTTCAGTGGTGCATGAGTGAATCCTTTGTGAAACAAAGTTAAGTTAAAGGAACTTGCTGTTCCAATATGATGATAGATTAATAATCATGAATGAGAAAGCACTTGCTTAGTGTATCCTAAACATCTGACCCAAAGGCACAACTACCTATGCAGTCTCTTCTGAGTGCTAAGGTGGCCTATCCTTATTGCTCCTTTTTCTTAAAGGCTTTGCTTGTATAGTAGGGAATATATATTTTATTTACTTGTGAACTGTGAAATAATTGTAAGTGCAGACAAGATTAAATGAATATTGGCTTTTTTATATCAGTTTCCAAGGCTAAAGAACAGAAAGAGATATTGGCAATTTGCAATACTAGGAGTGTTCTTTCATGATATCTGAAAATATAGGCCACTAATAAAAGTTTAGATAATTTAGAAGATTACAATTATTAATGATAATTAAAATTCTGATGAGCTATGTTGGATATCTGCAGGTCAGACAAAGAACAGGATAATCTGAAACACTTTGCTCAGTGGTGAGGATCCTTGTAGGATCTCTGTTTTCAGAGCCTAACGCAGTAACTATGCATTGCGTAGTTCATTGGTGGGTATCCTAATGATATTTTTAAAAATAGATTAAAGTTGCTTGCATTACAGATTTGCAGAAGGAGCTAACTGCATTGATCCTTGTGGGAGGATTAAAAAAGTGCACTGAAAATTTGGGGGACTGGACCATCTTTGCTAAGTCTCTAGGTTGATTATAGGTTGGATTGAAGGGACAGACCTCTTCTGAGGTTGACCTTCAGAAAAGGATATGAAGAACAAAGTAGGACAACACATAAATTATTATGTACTGACTTAAAGTTGGCATGGCTGGTAGATGTAGAAGGCAATCTAACATTAGAACAAGTGTGAAACAGGGCCTCTGGGTTTTATTCCAGATTCTTACTAACTGGCTGGGTAATTACTCATCTCTCTGGGTCTCCTTCTGCCCATCTGGTAACTTACCTAGCTGACAAAACCGTTGCAAGGCTTTAACTAAAGGTGAACTGCAAAGCGAAGCAGTTGGTGTGTGCCCTTTGGTGCTCTTCTGTGATGTGTAGCCATGCCTGTGATATCTTCTTCCCCCAGCTCTACAGGCTCCTTACATCAAGCACACCAGCTATTAGAAAAGAAGGTTAGAAATATTTCACCATATGAACTGTCTGGTAGTGACTGAAGGAGCAAGAGCCGCCAAGGTTAAACTTTGTTAAAGTTGCCAGACGTTAGATTACTCGAGAGGGAGGAAAAGTTGAGGAGGGTTTTATCAAGGTAGACTATGCTGGAAGAAGAGGACTTTGATGTGCAAGGTGCGAGAAAGAACTTAGACTTGTGAAGAAAAGTGTTTCAGGTCTTTTGGGAGATTGCTAGAGAAGATAACACTTCTCTTTTCGGTCTTGACTCCTGTAAAATGTGTGAGAGATTACAGTGGCTGCTCTGTGTAGTAAACTGATGTTAAGAAATCTGGAAGGCTTTGGCAAGGATTCTTGAAAAATGAAAGGGAGGAAGAGAGCCAGTTTGTGGGGAGTATGAGGGCTGTGTTATTGTCACTTAGCAAGAGGAAAGTGTAGATTCGGTGACTTCCATCTTAGAGGATCAGCTGCGTGGTGCTTGCAGCACAGCGGGATGGTGTTTTAGTCTCTGGGGCACAGGTAACGTGGGCTCCTTGCGCTCGCCTGTGTGCATCACCTGTTCACAGCATTATTCTTGGGTGTGTCGGTGTGTGGATAGTCTCAGTTTGGATTGAGAATGCCCTATTTTGCTTTAGCTAACAATAGGCTAATTATTTTGTTAAACAGCTTTGGCTGAGTTACAATGAAGGCTATACTGACTTGCATAAGATAATTGAAGTTATGAATTAAAGATATCTTTACTTGATTTGTTTGTTTGTGTGGATATGCTCTTACTGCTGTTTATAAGCCTAATACAGAACTTGGATTACAAAGGCTTTTGCAATCAATATTTATGTAAAGAAAAATATTCTGACAAAATAAAGGCTTCTTCGTGGTGTGTAGCCAAGCCTCATTTTCACTGCAATTTTCCTCAGGACAAAGTCATTTATAATTAATCAGGCAAAGAGTGTTTAAGGAGAAACAAATACACAAGGATAGAGTCAGACGTGCGTGCGCATTGATGGCTGTAAGTAAAGTGGAGATACTGTCTTAGTGAATGCAAAGCCTCACATTCACAGGGAGCTTGTGTGCAGCTTATATTAAGCCAAGTAGCCTTAATTAGCTCTGCTTATTGGGAGTAATGTGGCCCTAATATGAATTAATAGGAAGAGACTGGAAAGATGATGGGGGATGTGTTCTATGTAGCTTAGTTTTGTGAGATGCCTTCTGTGCTGCTTTGCCTGGAATGTGGATTTGCCTGGATTATTTCTAATCACAGCAACTGACTCTTCTGCTGATACCTCACTCTGTTGTATTTGGATATTAGACTTCCCTAAAACTAAACAGAAACATTTCTGAGTGCAGAGGAACGTGCCACTGTTTGCTTTTCCCCCCAGATTCTACTCTTCAGCAACAAATCATTGTGTGTTACTCTTTTTAACTTCCAAACTGAAAATCCAGGTGCTTATATGTTGTTTTTTGTTTGTTTTACTTTTCAGATTGTTTCAAGAAAAAATCCAGAGGATGTCCAGGAGGTAACAGTTTAAACTTGTGCAAATGTCTTTGTGTATCACACTATGCCTTTTGAAGCATCTTTGATGTAATTTAGCAATTTCTGTGTGTGTTGTCGTTGTAATTGAGCAATTTTTTGTATGTTTCCATTTGTCTTTAGCTTTCACAGTTGAAAACAGTAGCTGGTGTAACATGTTGCAATTCATCTCTTGGTGATGAATGGTGACTTGAAACAAAGTCTTAGGGAGTAAAGTGTCTTTTGATGACAAAACTGCTTTGATAACTTTGCAAGCTCTTTTCTCAGGGCTGGAATTGGCAAATTGATGGTTACTTAACTCCTACGGGTAAAATTAGAGATCAGTCCACAATCCAAGTCTTAGGTCTCAGCTGTAGGTACTCTTTTCCTCTTTAACCAATACTTCACTGAAAAGCCTACATCATTACTGTCTATTAGTGAAGAAGGAAAATGGAGGAGCATAGGAGTAGTTGAGAGAGATTAGACTGCAAGTCTATCTCTCTGAGGCTCCTTCAGTATGTTTCAGTGATATACTTTGATAAAACTTTAAAATTTCTTACTCTTTGCATCTTCTGAAAAGCTCTGAATAAGGGCCTACTGTATTCTTATGCCTCTTTAATACCTCAAAAGACTGTTAGGAACCTTTTTTTTTTTTTTTTTTTTGAGATAAAAAAATACATCACATATGTGTGGGTTGTGGTTTTTTAATGAAAAAACTTTTATTTCTCTCTTGTTTCCTTCTGGACTAATGACTTGACTATGATACTATTATACTATGTACCTACAAAATCTTCCTTCAAAAGCACAACCTTATGGCTTTTCAGACGTTGTGTAACATATGCATATGTTCAATTTCTGGTGCAGTCTCTTACTACAGTTGAGGAGAACCTGGATAGTTGATGAAAGAAGAGCCCATAAATGAATTCATTGCATCTTTGTGTGGTCAAACATGAGTTACTGATAGTGGCTTGGCAGAGGTGAGAATTGGCTAATACACCTAACACCCCTTTATTGCATCCCTCTTTGAAATCTTGAGAATCAAATAAACATGAGCATTCATGCTTTTTGCTTTTTTTTTTAATCTCTAGAAGATTAAAATAGCCTATCAGAATCAGGTGATCATGGATCTAGTTTCAGAACTGCATTACTGTAGTTTGTAGCTTGATGTTCACCTTTTCCAGGGAGACTCCTGAATTGAACCTATCCATGAGCACATTCTGCCATTACCTTAATCTTCATTTGTGGGGAAAAACACTTTGTACCAGCTGTTGATGAACCATTCATCAGAAAAATGTATTGTAAGTGTCTTTCAGCTGGAGTATTGCATGAATATATGTTAAATAGTTTTGAAACAATAGCAAAAGCATATCCTTTAGGCTTTGCTTTGGTCATTGCTCTGATCTGTGACTGTAGGTTAGCCGTGCAGGATTCCACAGACTAATCCATGAGAAGACTTAGATGTTCTATGAACTTTTTGATGATTGACCTTTTCCACCCTTCACTGTATCAAATGAATTGTTGTGCATGTGGTAGCATGTTAGGTGTGAGGTGATTCTGTTATAAGCAAGCATCTGAAAGTTCCTAGTTATTAAAAGGAATATCCTAGATGGTAGTTGCCATGAGGGTGAATTGTAGTCAGAAAACCATCTAAATTGGGAGCTTTTCTGTTATACTGGCTTCCTATGATAGAATTGTGGTCAGCCTTTGAAGGAAAAAGAATATACTCCCAATCTGTTCCCACTGAAAAAAAATTCACCTCAGTTTACCAAAATGCTCAATTAGAAATTCGATAGGCAAAATTTTGTGCACACAACCACTCTGTTGCTTTATGATCTGTCTCATGCAGCCCCCTTCCCACAGTCATATAGGACCACTCAGCTGTGCCTGCCTACTCATTCAGAAGTCTCTTTTAAATGTCGCTGCTGTGATGTTAATATGTACATTACATATGTACAGCTGTAGGTAAGGCCAGTTTTTTTGTTCTCTTTTAACTGCCCTTTGGGATACCAGCCTTTAATACAGCGTCTCTCTCACTGCAGCCAATTACAGTTCAAGATATCCTCAGCTGTTGTTGCTGGGACAGGAAGGAAGACAAACTTGTGAGGGCTTTCTTCTAAAAAGGATGAAAGAAGTTAACATGAAGTTGTGCACGGAGGAGTTAACAAATACAGAAAGGCTAATTTAATTTCTTAGCTTCTGGAGATAGTTGGTGACAGCATGGCATGTCAGGCAGTTGTAACTAGAGTATTCTTGCGGGTTTTTTTTCCTCTTACTGATTCACGGAGGAGAAAGGGTTGTTCATTGTGGAACAGATGAGTCGCATGAGTTAATAGAGATCTCCTGGCTCTAGCCATGACAAGCACCTTATTGCATTACAAGTCTAACATATGTTTTATGATATACTTGCTGTGCTTCGTTTGGCCTCAAAGTACAATGTGTCCTTCCTCCAAATCTGATTTCTAATGAGTATGTTAGAGTGGGAACTTTGCTAACTTTGCTGAGCCACATGCATGCAAAGGCTTGATTTCCATGAGCTTGTGACAGGTTTTAGGATGACCTTGAGTGCTTTTGCTGTGCAAGCTACTTAAGGATTTTTTTTTTTTTTTCTTTCCCCCTCCCTCCCCCACCCCCTTCCCCCTTGGCTATTGGGAGATCACTTGCAGCAGTAAAAAATGATACTTTTTTAGTGGAATGGAATCTCATGCTCTTATTTTCTGGCAGCTCTTCATGTTGTCTCCAAGCACTGACAATACAGTAACCTTTTCAAGACTTTGCCATCTTAAGCAATTTTATGTTCTATGTACCCACTGCTCAAGAATTGCTAATCATGCACTTTCTGGATATTGGATTAAATGGAAGTACAGCGTTGGAAAAGTATTGTTTCTGATAGCAAAATCACTAGTTGGCCTTCTTCAGGGATTCTGATTTTTCTAACCTTATCTGTTGAACTCCACTAAGTACTAGTTGTAATTGAGTCCTGGCAATATGTGCACAATAGGTGGGGCTGTATCAGGACTGGTAGTTTCAGCATATCTAAGTTTATAAGTTGGCTGGAGTGTTGCCATATTAAAACTTCTCATATGCACTGTTAACAGTCCTGTTACCTTTTATCTGTGTTGTTCTGTAGGGAGGACTTGCATCCGTTGAAACTTAGAAGGCTTCTGACTTTGGTGTTTAAAAAAACAAAACTCCTCCAAAACTCCAACAAAAACCCCTCTAAAATTAAACCTTTTACTTAGCTACTTAGCTCTAAATCAGGTTTGCTTGAAAAGGTAGTTTTTCAATTATGATCATTTGTGAGAAGTCAACCCGTTAGATCAGTCAGAAATATTTGGAATCTTTTAAATTGTGGTTAATTGTATTAAGCTAATTGAAACATTTGACTGATGGAGCACTGGAATCACCTGCCGAATGCACTGCAGTCTCTTCTTTTTTTCCCTGTTCTACTTTAATCACTTTACATTAGTGTTGAGGTTTATTTTGGTGGCTTAGTGAGTCTGACCAAAACCAAGGCCAAGATATGAAATGTCTTTGTTCATTTTTTTTCATCCTGATAGCAAACCTGTTGCCAGGCAAGTGTAAATTTTGTTGCTCAGTTTCTTCCCTGGCCTGTTTTTCTTATTTGGCTCTTCTCCTTCCTTGAATCGAAAGAATAGAAAGAACAGGAGAAAAGAAGGGTAGATACCTGGCTGGGGGGAGTGTGGCTGGGAGATGACTAATTCTTTCTTTAAAGGATGGATGAGGAAAAGCTGTAGTAATGAGTCAATGCTGTTTTTGCCTTGCTGAAGTTTGAGATTTTGTCTAGATTATAAAAGGAACATACTCAATTTTTGATCAGAGTTATTAGTAATAAAGCATTTAAGATGTGGGCTTGCGTTTACACCTGACCAGCATTTTACATAAACAAACTATGAGTTGGTGTGTAGTCCTGAGTGCTTTATGTGCTGTCCTTAAGACTCCCTTACTTGTTTTGATTTCTTTTCCCTCGTTTTCTCTTTTGCTCTTGTGCCTCTTCCCCATACCTGCAGCTGCCCTGAGCACAGCATGCTGTTGAGTGTTGGGTAGTGCAACACTTACTATTCAGCATTTTTTTCCTCTCTTACTGGTTCCCTGTGTATCTCTGGATCCCAGTGTGACTGAAACAGGGCTGCTGCCTTTGCCCTCTCTGTTTCCTTCGTTCAGCTTTTACGTAACACTTTTTTCCATGCACTGTAGTCTTGTTAGCCAAAATGGGGGTTCAGGATAGATAATTACCATTTTCTAATGGTTGTTAGTGTTGGGAGTTCAGATTGTCTATTTTTGTTACACCTGTTTGCTGAAGTTAGTGGTCTGATTTGTTTAAGAATGTGTTTGTGGTGTGATGCAGTGCAAACAATGAACCCCACTAACAGTTTTCTCCCCTTTCTCTGCTTCAGATAGTCGTTTGGAAGAGATACAGTGACTTTAAGAAACTGCACAAAGACCTCTGGCAAATTCATAAAAACCTATGCAGACACACAGAACTCTTTCCGCCTTTTGCCAAAGCAATAGTATTTGGTAAGCATAATTTCTTCCTGACTTGCTGAAATTATCTGATAACTCAGTATCTATAAATACATCTTGTCTTGTAGCTGCATGGAACACTTTTCCATGTGCTTTTTACTACTTAACTTTTTGGTTTGTTGTGCATTAATTGTAGGTGTGCTGGTATCATAACACGGTACTTTTATTTATTTTTTTTAACAGGCAGTTATGTCCTTGCTTCCATGTTAGAAATGTTAGCTCAGATATTTATTAATATATATGTTCTGTATCTTAATAATGTACATTCCCTGTTTTCAGGAGCCTGAAGTCTGTATTGGCTTTGTGAACAGCACTTGAGCAATGAACAGATTTTCATATATGAGCTGTCTGATTTTTAAGTGATGAGTTATAGCAAAACACCAAGTGATTGTTGCAGAAAAGAATTTTTTATTTTAGGAATTTGATTGTAGTTATCCATTTTTATCTAGCTAGGCTTTTGAGATCAGTTTTAAATATAGCAGCTTTAAATGTCAGTTTTAACTATTTCACCAAAACCACCTGTAAGAGGATTGTGACTCTACATGAGAAATACAAGGCAAAAAATAATTAGCTCTTAAAAGCCAAAGGACTTAACTTAATCCTGATGTGTATGTCGTCAGGAATGAGCTATAGGTAGACTTCCAGTGAAGCAGTATGACTCCATGGAGAACTCCACCTACCACACTTTCTTTGCCAGTGTGTTGTGTTTCTTTTAGTGGTTTTTAAGTGCATGCTCTTTTTTTTCAGAACACATTGTTGGGTTTTTTTTAATGTGCTTATATCACAAAATATCCAGTGTGTTTTTAAGTGTTGTTCAGCATTTTTTAATGTATCCAGCATGTTTGATGTCTTTTTTGTATGCATCTGTCACATGCTTTGTGGGTGTTTCTGAGGTGCTCCTAAGGTGTTGCTAACTGTCTGGAATGGGTTTGCTGCTTTTTGGTGTGCATCTACCATGTGCTTTTGAACCTTTTTCCAAGCACTTTACAGCTTTGGGGTTTTTTTTTTTTAGATGTCCAGCATGTTTTGTCATTTTTTTGCATGCATCTACCACATGCAATTATTGGGCATTTTAATGGGTTTTTAAGCATCCAACACATTAAGCGTTTGTTTGGCATTAATCTACCACATGCTCTTTTTTGATGTTGTTTTTGGCAGGCTTTTAGGTTTCTAAGGTGATTTGGAGGGGCTTTTTGGTTTGTGAGGTGGTTTTATTTTTTTTGGGATTACTAGGGCATTTCCATGGAGTTTACAAGTTGCTTCTGTGATTTGTTTGGTGGCTTGGGTTTTTTTTTGTTTGTTAGTTTACACATCCAACCTGGGTTTTTGTATACACTTTGCATGGTGGTTAGCATCCAGCCTGTTTGTTGTTTTTTGGCATGCATCTGCCGTATGCTCTGTCTTTTGGCAAGGCTTCTGGTGTGGATTTGTGGCATTTTTAGGTGTGGTTTTGATTCCTAGGGCGTGGCTACACTGTTACTTCTGTCCAGGATTTCTTTGGTGATTTTTTTTGCATGCATATACTACATGTTTTTCAGTGTGTTTAAGAGTTATTCAGCCTTTTTTTTTTTTTTTTTTTTAATATTGTCCGGGGTTTTTGGGTTTTTTTTTTTTTTTAGTATGCATCTATCATGTACAATTACTGGGCATTTTAATGGGTTTTTAAGCTTCCAACATGTGTTTGGAATTTCTTTTTTTGGCATGAGTCTACCCCATGCTCTTTTTTTGATGTGGTTTTTTGGGCAGGCTTTTCAGTGTCTGAGGCGTTTTGGGGTTAAGGCCTTTTTGTGGTGTTTACAAGTTGTTTTAATGTGGTGATTAGTTTTGGGGTTTTTTTTTTTTAAGCATTCAGCTTGTGTTTATGGTTATTGTATGCACCTTGCATGGTGTTTAGTGTCCAGCCTGTTTGGCGTTTGTTTGAATGCATTTACCATGAGCTCTTTTGTTAAGGTTTCTGGTGTGGATTTTGCATGATTTTGTGGTGTGGGTTTTGTTTTCTAAAGCGTTGGCACAGCATATTTGGCATTGCTGTGATGGTGTTTTGAGAGTCCAGCAAGTTGGGTGTGTATCTCCCATGTGCTCATTTTTGTCAAGGTTTTTGCACCTTTTTTGGAATGTTTTTTGTTCCTGAAGCATTGCTGTGGGTGGTATTTTCCATTGCCACATTGTTTCTAGTATGTTTTGGTGGGTTTTTAAACATACAACACACTTCACAGCATTTTTTGTTGTGTATCTATGACATGCTTTTAAATGTTTTTAGCATCCAGCATGGTTTTGATGTTATTTTTCACCCTGCTACTGTGCCCTTTTTTGTGGTTTTCATACTGTTTTAGCATTTTTAGTGTCCGGCATGTTTGGCACTTTTTGGTGTGCGTGTAGTGCATGCTTTTGTATATGTGTGCACACATTTTCCATGTTTGTCATACACAGACATTGTTTTTGCATATTTTTTCCATGTGTTATGCATGTTTTAGCATCGAGCCAGTGTTTGGTGTGTTTTGGCTTGCCTCTATTGCTGATTTTTGCAGGTTTTTTGTGTGTAGCAATTTTAGCAGTTTTAGTGGTGTTGGGCATTCATCTGGAGCATATTTTCCCACATTTTTTCTGACTCACATTAGCATGGTTTAACACCCAGTGTGTATTTTGCATTTTTTGACATGCATCTGTTGCATGGTTTTGCACAATTTTTTCCCAGCATCACGATTTTGGTGTATTTTAGTGTCCAGTATGCTCTTAGTGGTTTTTAGTGTGCATCTACTACAGGCTTCACATGGAAAGATGTTTTTGCATACTTTTAGCAGAAATTTTAGTGCACCCTAGCATTTCTTTCTGCATTTTTTTGTGATGATTTGTTTTTTTATATTCTACTTTTTTGGTGTATTATACTTTTTTTTTTTTTTTTTTGGCATTTATTATTACTTTGGGATGGTCAAGCCTGTCAGTTTGGGAAGTGCCAAAACTAAGGTTGTTTAGTCAGCCTTTTTTGCACCGCTTTGTGTGACAGCACTGTAATGCTGCCTGAGGTTATGGTTCTGTAGCAGTATTTGCTGGCTGCCCTCCTTTGCCTTGAGTGCCAGAGAAACTGTATGAAACTCCCCTGGAGGCAAAACATTAGCCTGGAAAGCACAAATTTCCCTTTTAATGTTTCAGGACTAAATATTGCCTCAGATTTCCCATTTTTGCTATTTTGTGCTTCTGTGTTTATTCTTGATGACTACTGCATCAAGTCGGTATGGCACTGAGATGCTTTAAAGACTAAGCTAACATCAACAACTATGAACAAGTTGAAGTTAAAGCTTAGAACCCAAGTCCAAACTGCCCCTGCAGCTCTGGGGGAGATCTGACTTGGCTCCTTATTGTGTGGACCAGCTAAGTGAGAGGCAAGGAAGCTGAACTCTGATGCAGATTTCATAGTTCTTTACGCAGAACTGGGTAAAATTCCTTCCACATCAGCTAAATTGTATCCAACTTTTATGTCTTTTTATTTTTCCTTATTTATGAAGTAGGAAGTGGGTTAAGTTTCAGTGCTATGTCAGAACTTGTGCACTAATGGTTAAATAGGGAAAGCAGTATTAGTTTCATCCTGAGGTGATACTCTACAGAGTAGAGTGCTCACTGGACAAGTTATTTAAAAAGCTACTATTTGCAAAGCATAATTTAATTTCAGGTAGAAGATGTGGTGGCTATTCATAGGGGAGGAAAGAGAAGCTAAAAGAAAAGAAAATCTGAATGGAAGAGAGTGTGGGCTTCTAATATCTTAAATAATTTTAAATTGCTAGAAATGCAAATTAGCTGTTTTTACACTATCCCTGTAAGCAAAGGAAGAATTAAGTGAAATTCTTTCTGAAAGGCATCCTTCTTCTATTGTATTTAGTGAACAAAAATGACTGCAGTGTACATTATAAGAGAAGGAAATCTACAGAAATAGTCAATGTAGTTATTTACAAAAAGCACTTTGAAATTAAAATAAACCAAAACAACTTGAATGAATCTGAGCTACAGAAAAATACAAGAAAGAGGAGTTAATGTAAAAACAAATTTTAAATGATTGGAACATAGCTGAAAGGAACAGAAGTGTCTGACTCTTCAATTTAAGAATTATTTTTCTATTTAAAGTACAAAATTTTGTTGTGTGTCCTTCCTCACTTCTACACATAATAGCTGCTGTGTGTTTTATTTTAATTTAAAGCATTTATCTTCAGGTCAGTCCTAGGGGTTTTTTGTACTAGAGGAAAAATGTAATTTTAGTAGATTTCGAGTTTCTGACGACTTGTTTTCAGTCTCGTTCAGTTAATGGTGAACTGCAAGGTCCATCTCTATTAATACTTGTTCTTTTCAGGCTGGTTTAATGGAGTATTTCTGCAGTGTTTCTGCCTTGTGGTGATTTTCCACTTATTTCAGCTTTTAAACTAATTACTAATTAGCATTGCCAGTAGTTGCTGGCAACTTGTTGATTTTTCTTTTTTTTTTTTGGATATGAATGTTTTAAATAATACATACATATTGTTTTGCAGAGAGTATGCTTTGCAAAATGAGCATTGGTGGTTCTGACAGTTGTACTTACTTGTGGTAGAAGTATTAAAGCTGAGCAGAATCTGAAGTTCAGCACTTGGAGTTTAAGGAGATCGTGTGGAGAACTGAGATGTATTTAAAAACAAATGGGCTGTGCTGTGCTTCCATATTTCATGCAACCAGAGACTCGCCACATCTGCAGAACGGGACTGCATTGCATGTTTTATACCGCAGCTTTTGATAATGATAACATGCAAATGCATGTATTCTTATCCTGTTACAATAGAGCTGCTCACATAACAGCAAGAAACTTGTTATGAGTGGGGAAAAAGAAATCGTTTCACTTTGTCTGTGCTTCACTTGAACCTTTTCCACCCATCTGATGGAGAAAACGTAATGACCCTGAGCATGAGAATCTCGAATGACCTAACAGATCAAGCTGTTAAAGCTTCTCTGAATTGTTATGCAGCAATTATGATACCTATTTCTGGGACATGATCACTCCCCTTCCCTAATATGTATCAACATAATTTATTCAGTATTTTCAAACTTCTTTTTTTGTTGGACTCTTTAAGTATTCCCATATGTTGCCTATACATGGTATTTTACCAAAATACTGGTAAATCTGTATTCAGTATTTCTTGTATCTAAAAACTGCAGAAATGTACTCTAGTGTAAAAAATACTCTCTCCCAACAAAAAGAAACCAAAAAGGCCCAGATATTGCAACTTGCTAGCAGTGAATCAGAAAGATGACTCACACTATAAAGCTCAGATAAGGATGTTTTTTGATTTGAAAATACCAAATGCAGTAGGATGTTTAAGAATTAGTTGCCATGTACAATTGGAAGTCTTGTGTGAAACTAACTGAAATGTGAACACAAACCTTGCCAGCTGTTCTGTTGTTCACATCTGCTCCAGAAAACGAATTGTGGAGTCTCTGTACATGAATGTGCATTTAGTTTCCATATGTATAAGATATTTTGAATGGATCAGTGCTGGAGGAATAGCAGAACTGTGCTAATGCATTTGCTATATGTGAAGATTGTAGTTGACACTTCCTACAACCCTGGAAAGACATAATCCCTATAATGAACTCTCCATGTGTCACAGAGGTCTGAAGAATAGTGGAAATAACATTGATTTAGATGCAGGAAGACTTCCTGATAGAAATGTTTTAAGAGTTGGCTGGGTGTCTAAGCACCTTTGAATATCTGATTGAGAAGGGTGACAATGCAAGTGTTGAGCAATACAAGATTACTTGAAAGTATGAAAAAAGGGAGAGGTGGAAGGAGTTAGGCAGAGTTGGCTGGGAATGAAACTGCCAGCAAGATGCCAGATAATCTGTGAACAAACCAGTACTGAATTATGTTCTTCCTTCCCCTAAAGTCCTCTAGTTCTGTAAGTGGTAGTCCTGATGGTGTATCATGATGCTGATGAGCTGGAAAATGTGACAGTGACTAATGTTTCAACAGCCCTGTTCAAACATGTATTTTATTTATTTATTTTTTTTATCTCTGTATCCTGAGGAAGTAAAGCTTATGTAATTGTGCTGCCAGAAAGTGAAACCTCTTACTCCTGTGGCTAATATCAGCTAAATTTGAGAGGGAAGGCAGTTGCAAATGTAATTATCTCTCTGCAAAGTCTGTGAAATGGCAGCTGAGTAGGAAGAGAGCATGTACTGTGGTGTGGTGCTATCAAGGGCCAGGCAGGCTCAGCTCATACCCATGGAGTTTGCAGCTGCCTGGACAATCAGTGAATGTGCCCTGGTCAGCCTGGCAGTGCTGGTCCTGACATGTCCTACCTGGTGCCCAGTGGAAGTAATGAGAAGATGTGGATGAGGAAAATTGGTTTTTATTGGGTTTGATGATGAGGTAGAATGGGGGAAGATCCCTGGGAAACCAGCTAAAAATCTTATGGAATTACTTTCTTGCAAAAGTTACCCGTTTCTGGCCATGCTAGGTGTTTACTACTTTGAGATTAGTTTTCTCTTGCATTATAACAATGTTCACGTTATTTTGTAGATTCATTTAACTGACCCATGCTGCTGCGCTTTACTGAGGGAATTTGTTTTTTTTTTTCATGTCCTGTTTTGTGTGGAATGAAGCAAAACCCATAGTGCACCACCAGTGTTGCTCTGAAGACACAGGAAGTTTGATGAGCAGTTTAATAGAGCCTGATTTCAGTGTCACCACTCAACGTGGTAGCATTGCCTTTGCCTTCTTTCTGCTTGCTTGTTGCTCGCTCTTTTGTACGGCTGCTAAAGTTTGTACAGCTGAAAGGGCAGGTTGAACAAGTCACAGAAGTGATCCAGCTGAAATTTATCCCAACAATGTCTTTCCTTTCATGGAAAAATAAACCCCAAAAGCTTTGTTTGTGATCTTGTGAGTATGTGTGTGTCTTTCTAGTTTTATTTTCTTTTTTCTGGTACCACATGGATAGGAGCTATTTACTTGAAGAATTTCTGGAAAGAAGCCTGCTTTGATACTTTCTTCTGGGATTATTTTTTTTGCTTGCTCTGAGTATAAATGAATTTTTCTTCTGTATTCAATGTTTCTTTTGTCCTCTTCAAAGGTTAATGCCACAGAGCTGTCACAGGTGGTTCTTATTTTTCTGGTCATGCTGTTAGAGCAATACTGTTTCTTGAACTTGTCTTCGCAGTCCTTTTTTTCCCTCTGTATAGCTGTTCCAATATCTGTTCAATTCTCCTCCAATTATTACTGTTAACCTCTGCTCATTTCCTTTTGTAAACTTGTAACTATTTCAACAACAAAGTGATGTTGATATGAAAAGCTAAAATAAGTTGTGTGCAATTGTGAAGAATATGAATTTAAGGTAGCAATCCAAGTGTTCTTTCTCCTGAGAAGCAAATCTCAGGTGAATGGTGGGATTGTTTTCTAAATATGTTTTTTTCCTAATTGAAATGTCTTGGGTGCTGGGTAGGGAAAAGGGAAAGATCATACATTTTGGTAAATGAGCTGCTTCCCAGCTCTGCTTACCTCTTGAATCCAGGATGAGATGAAACCCTGTCTGCATGCAGCTACCTCAGAGGAAAGCTTCAGTGCCTGGTAGCAGGGCTTCACCATCTCCCCTACACTCTGTCTCTTCCATAAATGACACCTTGGAATTGATGACCTGTTTGGGGTTTTTTAACAATACTTTGTTTACTCTCTGCTCATATTATGTGTTGTTCTTGAGAATTTGTGAAGAAAGCTCAGCTCCTTGCAGGATTTGGGCCGTAATCAAGGCTGACACTGACTGGCATATTGTCAAATTGTGCATGTATCATTTATTGTTAGATAACACTGGACATCCGTTAGTGTCTCTTGGCTAATCAAGAGTGTTGCCTCACATATTCTTCCGATGAGAGGGCGAAGGATTCTTGTCGTAGCTGCCAGCTTTCATCATCTGAGTGGACTGCAGAAGACGGGACTAGGGACAATTGAAAATAGGAAGTTTGAAGATTTGCTGTGTTATCCTGAAGCATTGGAATTACTTTCATAGACTCAGGGCGTTGTCTCCAGAAGGTTGCTTTTGTCTCTTTTTTTTTTAATTTTGTGGTGGTTATTATTGCAGAATAAATGTGCAGTTATTTCTGAAATTGTCAATCCATGTGTCTCTTCCAGGGCGATTTGATGAAACTGTGATTGAAGAAAGAAGGCAATGTGCTGAAGATCTCTTGCAGTTTTCTGCTAATATCCCTGCTCTCTATAACAGCAAGCAGCTTGAAGAGTTTTTTAAGGTTTGTTAGTATTTGCAGAAGTATTTGCTACTTACTGATGTGAATAAAGTATAGTGCTGATTCTGCTTTACTATATAAACCACAGAATGACAGGGAGCTGATCTGACATGCTTTGTGAAGTGACTGGGAGTTTTCTGTTCACTCTAGAAATAGGACTTTAAAAAAACCTTGATGCCACACCTCTACAAGGTGGAAAGTTTTACAGGAACTTCAGATGAAGGGATTTGGAATTTTTGTTTACTGAAGAATGAGCAAAACCTGTGATGTTAAACCCAGGTGTTCAGTGGGGAGGTAATAAACATTGTCACTGTTTCTATGTTTATGTAGATGTTTATAGTTTCAAACCAAAGGAAGAAAAGACTGACTAGTTTGTTTTCTTATGGACTGTTACAGATTCAGGTCTGTGATGACAAACTAGGTGTATAAGTAGTCAAATGTGCTGCATGTACAGTGTTGTGAGAACCACTCTCCAAAACATAGCTTAGGACAATACATTGATCCGGACTTCCTCTTTGTTATATCTGAAGCATCTTGTTTTCATGAGTTTCTTCAAACCTCTCTATTTTCAGTGGCTTAGTTAGCTTAGTCCAACATGCTGCAAACACATAAGCATAAATTTACATGTAAACATGATAGTAACTTCCTGCAATTAAGGAAATGCTCAATGGGCTGAAATAAGACTCAAGTGTGTGAGTGTATTAAGTATATTTAAATGATATATATGCAAAAGCAAAATTACAGTAAAGCACAAAAGTCCTAGCTTTGTTTTATGATGCAGTTATTGCAGAACCCTTTAAAATACTTAAGATAATTTTCTTTAAGCTTTGGTGGCAGGAGTGAATGGGAGACTGAGGGTTTTTTTTACTTCTCAGATTATTTGTATTTGTTCTTTGGAAATATTTCTATTCTGTGTTTTTTGGGTACTTGTTAAGAGCTCTTTCCCTTTTCTGGCTTTGTAAGGCAATGAGTCTGGCTTTCCAGTGGACCTTTTCTGGCTTTGTAAGGCAATGAGTCAATCTAGAAAGACATTAATTTTTATAGGAAGAAGCAGGTCTACAAGGGGAGTTATGCAAGTGTAATGCTTTAGGCTCAGTTGTTAGCTGATGTTGTGTCATGTTTTCCTGTAAGAAAGCCTGTGGTTTTGATCAGTTACCAGCTCAGCCAGTGTCTTTCACCTCTGCTCAGGGGTAGTTTTGTTCCTTTTCAGATTTTTGTGCAAATAGCTATGGAGAGATAGACTTGGGCAATTATGTCTTACACAACACTCCCTTCGGTTGTTTCTGTCTGTACTGTTGAGTCCAGAAAAATGGGCTGGCTAGTGTGAAAATGCACTGGGCTGGTTCAAGACAGATTGGCAATGCTCGTTTGTAACACTGCCTTGGAAACGGTGCAGTTTCTAATCAAGTTGCCTGAAAAGTGTGTACCCGAGATGTGAAGCAGAAATTTTTAAAAAAAACCCAACAAAACATTTAGGTGGTGGTTTGTGCAGTTAATTGTTCCTGTTGTTACTTCACTTACCTCTGATTTCTTCCAAGCTCGAGCAGGAATAATGTCCTTTTTATATGCTGGCCCTGTCCTTACCTTCCCTGTTTGTCCAGTCTCATTCAGACTATGACTGAACTCAAGGTAGCGGGTCTTGGGTGGGACATTAGTCACTGCTGCATGAGGGATCTGCTGAGCCTGGAAACAGCACTGAAGGGTGCAGACTGTATGTACCCTAAGAGAGCAGGAGCATCGCTGTTGTCTCACTGTTAACCTCTGAGGGTTGCAGGCAGACCTGCTGCAGCCTGTATGGTTCAGGACTCTTGTTACTCACCACAGAAGCTGCCGTAGGCTAACTGTTTAGATACCTAGACATGTTGTGACAACCAAACATGGCCTAAACAAAAGCCTTTGTTTAATTTTGCAGGCTTATATAGTTTAATTAAATGCATTAACTCTAAAGTAATGGAACATTCAGTGGTTAGGAAATATAATTTTGACTATCATTGCTATAGAATGAGACTTTACATAGAGCACAGCCACTAAATAATTCCTTTCCCTCTTTCATTTCAGGGTGGAGAGGTACATGATGGGTCTGAACTGATAGGTCCTGTTGAGCCTCTGTCTGACTCTCTTACTGACAACCTGTCTGACTGCAGCTCTGAAGGTTTGCTTTCTTTTCTCATGTAACCTTGTAACGTGGTCTATTTTAAAGCAGCATATAAATGGCAAGTGCTGCATTTGTAGGAGCATTGGCATCTATCTGTTTGTTATGACAGAAACACCAGAACTGGGAATACCAAAAGAGATGTTGGGCTCAAGCACTTCACTACTGGAATTTTGCATCTATCAGGAAGTTTTTTGGGAGTTTGTCTAGTACGTCTAGTGCCCTGTCACTTAAAAAGGACTGCTTTTGGTGCTAACTGAACCAAGCCCTCTGGTTCAAATGTACATAATCCTGCCTGCTTCCAAAAGGCTGGGCAAACAGTGTGGTAGTGTTCACTACTAATCATGACCCAAGTCTCAAGCTGCAAAAATTTGCAGAGAACTTTTTAAACCCATTTTGAGGTTGATCAATAAAGATAAAGATGACACTCTGAATTTGCCTAGAACATGAAAAATAGGTCTAAGATTTGAACTGCCCCATTCATTTCAGAGGGTTTTTATTCCAACTATTCATGCCCTGGGTGCCACCATGCTTTCAGTGCTTAGTAAAATCCAGAAGAGAGTTGGTATCGTATTTTAGAAGTTTAAGTATGTCTTCTGGATTGAGCATATGCAAGTGGTGAATATTGAAGCCTACTGCAGGGCTCAGAGAGATAAGCAAGTTGTTTAAGTTTCTTAGAAAAACTGCCAGCATTTTTTCTTTTCCAGAGAACTTGGAAGTCTGAGAGGTTGTGTGTTGGAGCCAGTGTGGGCTATTTTCAACTGAAAACTGTAAATCCCTCCCTTAACTTGCTAATGTTTTCTGGTTGTGCTATGCCACTGGAAGGTGTGTCCTTTTCCCTAAGATAATATTTCCTTAGCACAGTGTAAAAGATCCACATGGATGGCTTGGGTACCACGTGCAGAGTATTTTAGTGGCATTTCACTAAATAATAGCATGGCTGTAAGTAGGGTCAGTCAGCCCAAATAAATACTGTGCTAGGACTTCTTGCCTGCCTCTGGAGGCTGAGCTAGCTTAAGTATCTCTGTGTATAATCATCTACCAAGTAGCATGCAGTCTTTTAGATATTTATGTATTTCTGAGTTATTCTTGAGTCCTCGTGACTTCTAAGAAATTATTTTCCAGCCCTTCAGATTTTTCTTTGGAACTGTTTTACACTCATGTATAACTACACATTATTATACAAACACTTATTAAGCTTATTTGGGAGGGTTTTTTTTTTCCTTAACTACTTAGTTTCCTCTGGTCTCTTTCTGGCATAGAACTTGCTTTGGTAAAACTCTGCTGAATAACAAGAAGTGCTTGTGTTTTCTAGTAGTGCTTCATTTATTTTTGTTTGAGGTTATGTGACTTACCACTGGGGTCTCTCAATGTCAATAACTTTGTGCTTAGTTACATAATACATTCTACACATGCGGTGAATATTGCGTTTTATTTTGTAGTGTCTTCTATGATGTTAATGAACTAATTCCCCCACAATATGCATTCTGTGAAGGGAAATGTATAGAGCTGTTTAATTACAGAGGGTAGTTATCATAAATACTGGTGATAAGTTTTAAAGGGCCACTATTCCTGTGAAATTTAACCTTCCACATTCTGACAATGCACCCATTTTGCATTGTGCCTTATAAAACAAAAAGTGCTTGATGTGAATGTTTCTATTCTTTGTTCACAAAGGCCTCATTTTTAGAAGAAAAACACTTCTTTTATGTGAGATAAAATATTGAAAAGACAAAAGTGCTGTAAAGTAGAAAAATTATTTGATACCCTTCTTCTGATCAGCTGGAGTGCTTTTAGGGGATACTTGCAACAACTCTGAGCACAGGATTTCCAGATGCCGAATGTGACTTTTGTGGAATTATATTTTCTAAAAACCTATGTGTCTTCCAGCTCGTATTTTCTTGAGTTTGAAACCAAATTTTGGGCGGGAGGTAGACTTGGGACAGAAGGAAACATCTGTCTTGAAGGCCTCTAGATGGCAGTGGCAATATTCGACTCTGAGTCTGCTCCCTGCCTCTCCTCAGGGCATCCTGCCTGCATCTGAGTTTTCCCAGTGTGATTATCGTAGTTAAGTGTGAGTAGTGCACTGTGTTAGTTTTTGTGAGTGTTCAGGGGTCTCCACGTGGGCACTGCTCCTTCAAGCTGTTGTACTGAGAAGTATCAAACCCATTCCCTAACAGGTGCTGATGTTCCTGGTGCTTATAAGGGCGAGTCGTGTTTTTTTGCTTGTATCTGTTCTTTTTCAGACAAAGTTAATTTTGCAAAAAGTGTGTACATTAATGGTAGAAGATGTAAACTGATGGCAGTAGAAATGTTTTTATACCAAAAAAAATTATAAGTATCTTGCTTGTAAAAGCAATTTGTCAGTTAATGCTTTCAGAGGAACTTGCTTTTCAAGAGGCCAAGTTCCCCAGGCGTTCCACCAATTTTTGGAAACTGTTTACTCCTCATATGCCTGGTGAAATTGCACAAGGCAGAGACAAGTCCAGGAATTTATAAAAGTTCAATTTCAGCATTGTTATACTAATCTGATATTCCTGACAAAACTGTCACTCTGTCCTCCTCTCTGGGTACATGGGATAATGTTCAAATGTCCAACTTTCTCTCCAAAAGTCTTTCTATAGCAATTGCCATACTCTTTAGAGAAATTCACCAAGAAGCTCATATTTTTATTTTCATTCCACACACCCTCCTCTTCTGCTTATCGTGTTCATATTATCTTCCCAGAAATAAGCATATGCAATTCGGAGTCTTCCTACCCCTTGAGCTAATTGGAAGCCGCATGACTGTGGTTGTGTGGTCCCAGGCCTGGGCTCTGAACCTGACCTTAAGCAAAGTGTTTGAGCTCAGGCTCTGTGCCATGCTACCTGTGTTCATACAGCTTCTGCTCAGGTTGGCTGCAAGAGAAGAGCAAATGGGGTGTGTGTTTGTTTTTTGGTGGAAGTTTTTTTGGGTTTTTTTGACTCAGAAGAAAAACTCGGGTCTCTCTGAAATCTGGGTGTGGATGTGCTCTAATTAATCTAGTCTGGGTGGCTAGCACACCCCTCCCACAAACCCCCTGATTTTCCAGTAATTCTGTCTTACATGCACCCTTTGTCTACCAGTTAGCTCTGCTTCCACCTATACGTTCCTTAGCTAGCAATTTCTCTTCACTGAAAAAAGTAACTTGATTCCTGTAAATGTTAGTTCATGAATTCTCAGTCCTCTGCACCCAAATTTGACCTTGCTGTCTGTAAATTGGGCAAGTGAACAGCCCATTATTAATACGCTGATTAATGAATCTTCTGTCTTCCTCCAACTGTTCTGTTGTGAGGTTGCCTTCTTTCTTGCAGGACTTGGGGCTACACAGGCAGTCTTCTTCTCTGCATGGACATTTTGCTTTACATACCTCCCTGAAAAGATCAGGAGCATTATGTTCTGTGCACCCTGTCCCCTCCCCTCAAGTAGTCTTGTGTCATTAAGTATCAATGTCCCTTGCTTTTCAGACAAAGAGTGGCTGGTAATCTGTTCTCCTTCAAGTCTTTTTCCTCTCACTCACATTAAAGGAACTGCTAGCTTCTAGAAAAACAGTATTTCTACAGTGCCTTCTTACTGATCTTCCATAAATTCTCATCTCCCTCTAATGCTAGAGTTGCAAAAACAAAAAGAAAGTTTGAGTTACTTGCCTCTGAGGCAGCTCCTTGCTACTGCCATATACTTTTTGAAGATAAGTCAGAACACTTTACCTGATAATGTGGATAAACTCTTGACTGTCAATAATACTGAAGAAAACAGACACCAGGTTTTAGCTCAGAATTTACTTTCTCTGTGTGTACAAACAGCTAAATGTCTTGACCTTGTTACCTGTTGTATTGCTGTAGTTGGTACATGTGCCAAGGTGATAAAACAAACTGCTACTTGATATTCAGGTGGCACTGCCAAATTCGTGGCTTGCTCCGTATGTCTCATGCAGGGTACTATTCTGGAATGACGTTTTTGAGACTGAAAGTGGCTTTTTTTTTCCCCCCCCTTGGTGTGTAGGTCCCAGCTTTGAAGGCTCTCCTGTTTTAAGTCTCCTTAGCTGTAAAACATCAAGAGCAGTGAGAGATAGGGATTAAAGTGCTGCTGCTATTGAAATTAGGTGAGTTGGAGTGTTGAGGTTTGAATTAGCCCCCCCTAAGCAAGCACCTTTGTTTTGTTTTTTAACCTCGGAGGCAATGAGAAATGGCAAATCTAATACCACTGTCACAATTTTAATGGTGTGTTACCAAACGGATATCTCTGATAGCTGGTCAAAGAGTAGTTTCTTATTATGTACTTTTACCTGTAGTAGGGTCATGCCCTTTCATTTTGATGGCAAGTGAACATCTAATCTGTTGTACAAAAGGTTGTCAGAAACATTTTTGTCATTCTTGTCCTTTTCAGTTCGAAAGGATTTAAGTGGGCTCGATGATGTGACACTTACCAGCCAATCGGAATGCGGAGGTGAGATCTAGAAGTTGTTTCCATTACATTTGTGGAATTTAAATTATTAGAAAGTCATAATTATGAGTGAATGCTTTTCGTGGGTGATAAACCTTAACAGAATGAAATGATATACGTGTAAATTATCTTTGTTGCCATTTATTTCCAAATAACCCTGCAAAGTTGCTGTGGTTTAGTTACTGATGATCAGCTTGCAGTAAGTATATATACTTTTAGCTTATGGCACATGTAAACTAAAATATGTTGTCTCAAATTTCAGTGAAAGAGGCGTAAGATAATTTGTTTTACCACCTTAGCAGTGAAAGAAGTCTGTGCATGGTAATGTGAGTTGAGATGTGTGTGCTGCTGTAAGCTAACAGTAAATCTGTGTTAATTCAGACTCCTAATTTACTGTTTTGGGATGCTTTCATCTTGCTGATTTAAAACAATATGTTGAGATTTCTTGTAGCAGTAATTTGGCTTCTGCTGACTGACTTTTCTAATGACACTCATACTGGAAGTGTTAGTTTTCTAATTTCCTGGATCCCAACGGTGAGTGAAAGTTTAAGTTGGGTGTTAGATGTTGGTCCCTTCATTCCCAGTATTAAAATGAAGACCAGTTGCTCTGTGAAGTTTGTAGCTAATTTTAAAACCTATGTTTCTATAGGTACTAAAATCAGTTTTTAAAGGCAGCTTTATATGCAGAGATTTTCTGTGTGCAGAGTCTCAGAAAGCTACATAAATGAGAAGAAAGCTAAAATCTTTGGATGCGATAAAGAATTTTGGAGGTATATGAGAAATCTAGAGTAATGGATGTCTTTCTGACTGTGCTTTCAGGCTTCTCCAGTGACAGTGACCTGATCTCTCTGACAGTTGATGTAGACTCTCTTGCCGAGTTAGATGATGGAATGGCATCCAACCAAAGTTCTCCTAGTAGAACTGTTGGCCTTTGCCTTACTTCTGAACCCTCAGTGCAAAGCACGCTGGCACCTGAGCAGGGGTGGAGCAAACCCGAAGGAGAGAGGGAAAGCCATAGTTTGTTTACTGGAAGCTTAAAACCCAAGCCTGGCAAACAAGATTACTTGGAGAAAGCAGGCGAGTTGATAAAACTGGCCTTGAAGAAGGAGGAGGAGGAAGATTATGAAACTGCCTTCAGCTTTTATAGAAAGGGGGTTGATCTGCTTCTGGAAGGTGTTCAAGGTATGGATCTTCCCATTATGTTTGTCTTACCTTTGGTTATGTGCATTTGTTTGTGGTATTTCCTTAGTTAACATCAGCTTACTGTGTTGCAAAGCAGTGATAGGAAATGCAGAATGATGTATGCCTGGCTTCCATGTGCTTGGTAGCTGCTGTGCATATGAGAGAGAAAGAAATCTTTCTCTCTAAGACTGAATAGTAATTTAGGGTCTCCTTTTCCAAGTGACAAATATCTCCTCTTTTAAAATTGTGGCACAACCTTCGACTTGCAGGTAAGGAGCAAAGTGCTTCACTTTTACCTCTTTCCATTTTATTACCTAATTAATTACTATGTGGCACTTGCAGCACTGTTGAAACATTATTTAATTTACATAGTTAAGTGAGGATTAATTATCCCCATTTTATGCATGGGGAGAGGCAGTCTCAGGTTAACTTCCCAGTCACAACAGGATTAGAACTATTCTTGGCTCACAGCCTCTTGTTTCTTCCACTAAATTGTTCTCCTTTTCTAGCTAAAGGATGAATACAGACTTACATGCCTGCACTGTTAGAGGAGAATAGGATTTTTTTTTTTTTTTTTTTTTCCAAAAGGCTTTGGTATGTTGATGTATATCTGCAAAAGCTCTTGTTAACTGACCAGATGCAACTACTTGCAAATTTCTGCAGAGTCTCCTTGCACCTTGTCAGTTAGGGAACAGTTTTTTCCCCCTTCCATCTCTAGTTCTTGAGAGCCTAGAGTGATAACCTCATGTATTTGCAGTTTGTCCAACAATGGCTTAAAACTATAAAGCACAGGAAAAGATTTGTTCTTTCCTGGAGTGAATTCAGGGTCTGTGTATTGTGCTTCTGTCCCACACAGATCAAATGAGTAAGATTAGAATTGTGGCTTTGTTTGTTGGTATACAGCACAGATGCATTATGCTTCTCCAGATCTGAACTTAAATGCTGATGTACCAAAGCACACACAGGCAGAAGCCTTTGCTGCATCTCGGTATGATGCACAGCGGTGGTACAGACCCTCTGAACAGTTCTAGGAATGGAAGTTACCTGCTGAGCTGCTTCAGCGGAGTCTGGCAGAAAATGATGGGTAGGTTACTGAGGAAAACTAGAGGTGTGGGCCAAGATACGTGCATAGCTTTTGCTTAGTGTCTTGCACTTTTTGGCAAAAGTAGATCCACTTCTTTTCAAGTCCCGGTGATGTCAGTAGTGTTACTGCTTTGCTACTTGTTGTGGCTTTTCAATAACATATCCTCTTTTTCTTTGCCTGTGTTGTCAAAATGCTTTTCATTCTTGATGTTGGATGTGCTGGCAGGCCTTCTGTTGGCGAGCCCAGATATTCCTTCTTTGCTGATACACTTCTTCGTACACCTGTGTGCCATTCAGTTATGGTCTTCTGAAGAGCATCCTGTTTCGTCATAACGACTTCTGTCTTCTTGCTGTGATGCAAGGCTACCATGTTGCAGTTTTAAACTGACACTTCAATTTTCAGCTTCAAAACCCTTTCTGTATTAAATGGCTTCGTACTGTTAGGGCATGAACCAAAGCCAGGCTATCGCATATTAGTTAAGCTCTGGTGACTATGCATGCATACTTGACTTGTGGCATTAGTTAAACATGTTGGCTTTTAATCCATGGTAATCCTTTTGGTAATATCTTTACCTTGTAGTTGTGAAAGGCTTTTCTTGCATGTGCTGTAGGTGAATTGCTCAACTGATGCATACTAACTTGTTAAACTAGAGTGGGTGGAGCTTCTTCCTTACATAAGTAAGTAGAGAGGTATTGTAACAGCCTTCCAGTACCTGAAGGGGCCTACAGGAAGGCTGGGGAGGGGCTTTTTACAAAGGATGGTAGTGATAGAACAAGGGGTAATGGCTTTAAACTGGAAGAGGGGAGGTTTAGATTAGGTATTAGGAAGAAATTCTTTCCTGTGAGGGTGGTCAGACACTGGAACAGGTTGCCCAGCGAAGCTGTGGATGCCCCCTCCCTGGAAGTGTTCAAGGCCAGGCTGGATGAGGCTTTGACCAACCTGGTCTAGTGGAAGGTGTCCCTGCTGATGGCAGGGGGGGTGGAACTACGTAATCTTTCCGGTCCCTTCCAACCCATATGATTCTATGATTTGCTAGCATTTCCTCCAAGGACTTTTGCTTCTTTGCTGTTGCCTAACTACTCTGCCAGCTACCTCAGACATCTACTAATCCACTGGTATCCAGGCTTTTCAGGCTAGGAAGAGATTTAAGGAATCTTAGAGAAGTGTGGTATTCTGCCCTGTTTTCCTGCTGCCACTCAGCTAGTACAGTGGGGGATATTAATAAATTTGTAGTAGTGGTGGTACCCCTGTGTGTGTGTGTGAGTGGAGGTGTTCCTGATGGATGAAGAGAGGCTGTGTAGCCAGCACCTGCCACTCCTTTTGTGCAGTCCCTGACATTGCATCTGTACAGTGCAGGAGAGGGAATAATGGGAATGAGTTGCTTTTTAACTGGCATCTTATTCCTTAGGCACATAAATATAAACAGGCTAGTTCCTAGCAGTCAGCTCTTTTCTCCTTTCTCTGTGTTATCCTGCTTTGCTATGAAGGTGGAAATCAAATGAATGTTCATACTCTGCTGGGCACTTTAACACTAGATGTGGGTAGATCCAGCTCATTTTGTGTCCCATTCTCTTTGGAGCTTCTGCAAGCTGGCAGGGAGACACTGATGTCCTCTTTGTAACAACAGGGCTGATTCAGGCATGTGTTTTCTCATGATCTATGAGGACAGTAAAAAACCCAAAACAAACCATAACAAAAAAACCCCACAAATAACTATGTATCACACTTTTTAATATAGCTACTTTATGAAGGTTGCATGTTTAGCATTGATATGTGAATATTCACTGTATGTTGCAATAAAAAAACCCTTAAACTAATTACTTCAGCTGTTTAAAAACACTTCTGGTTATGTATTTCACATGGATAATAATGTGCTCCTTTCAAAGATAAGGATGGTGCAGTTACAAAATACCTCTGGTCTTCTGACATTGATTATTTTCAGCCTACTTTATTTGAATAAGACTTTGTAATATCTGAAAGGGAAACACAGTGTTCATATGTACTTACACACAGAGTGACATTGCCTTTCAGTGTGCAGCCATTGCAGTGTGTGGCCTCTCTAGAATGGACTGGAAGTGGCTTTTGCATGTAAAATGGTAATACATATTTTTGCCACGTGGTGGCACCAAGAAAATAGAAATTGACGCCTAAAAATTGGAATTGGGGAAATGTAACTAGTGTACTGGGTTGAGGGGAAAACCCATGATCCATCCTGCAGGGAAATGTAACTAGTGTACTGGGTTGAGGGGGGAAAAACCCATGATCCATCCTGCGTGTTTGAAACTTCTCTCAGAATTACCTTATAAGTGTGATGCCTCTGTAAGTTGGTTAGATGTATCTGAAAGATAAGGCTCTCTGTTGCCAGGCCGCTCCTTTAGGTTCGGTACAAGATCTGCTTCTTAAGGCTGCCTCATCAACATTGTGTACTAGTAAATTTATTACTGCAAGTTTATAGACTTGGGTGCTTTAGTTTGAACTAGCTGTCTTCCATAAAGGCAGTCGGAGCACACTTGGGTCTGATATGTTCCTTCTGTCTTTCCAGCTCTCTGAGCTGATGGCAGTAGTGCTAGTTGAGGCAGGTGTTGTCTATGCTTACACCAAAGAAATGTCCATCCTTACTTCGTTTTCTTCTGTGTGTGCATGCTCTCAGAAGTGCAATTGTGTTAATTATACTGTGCAAGGTGCATATGTATTTTCCTCTGCTAAGTCTTTTATAGAGTTTTAGTACTAAATCTTTTAATGTCCTATTCGTAGTCCTGTCAAAAGGCATGAGCACCTCTCCTATGAAGACAGGCTGAAAGAGTTGGGGCTGTTCAGCCTGGAAAAGAGAAGGCTCCGGGGAGGCCTTCCAGTACCTGAAGGGGCCTACAAGAAAGCTGGGGAGGGACTTTTCATAAGGGCAGTTAATGACAGAACAAGGGGAAATGGGTTTAAACTGAAAGAGGGTAGGTTTAGATTAGATATTAGGAAGAAATTCTTCACTGTGAGGGTGGTCAGACACTGGAACAGGTTGCCCAAGGAAGCTGTGGATGCCCCCTCCCTGGAAGTGTTTAGGGCCAGGTTGGATGAGGCTTTGAGCAACCTGGTCTAGTGGAAGGTGTCCGGGCTGATGGCAGGGGGGGTGGAACTAGGGAATCTTTAAGGTCCCTTCCAACCCAAACCATTCTATGATTCTGTGATATGCATGTCCCTTGGGAAGTGAATGCTGTCTGCACTTCGAGAGACTGGTGTATGCCTTGGACTTTGGGCATCTGCTCTTCATACATCTTAGGCCTATTTCTGCTCTGTACATGCATTTAATATTAAACAAGCTTGTCAGTGGGAAGGAGAACGAATTCTTGAACTGGCAGTAGAGCCCTTGGACTGTTGCTGAACTACCTGTACCTCTTGTACTCCCTGTTTCATTCATGCCGGAGCTCCTTCACGTCCAGTGAGAGGGTATAGCTGCCATCATTTCCTTTTTCCTTTGAATACGTACTGATTCTGCTGCCCCCCTTATGTTTTCTGGGCACTGCTGTGTGCAGGATTTTGGAGCTTTTGGAAGGTAGGTCTGTAAGGGTTGTGTAGGATGGTTAAACAATTTCCCAAGAGCTGAAACCTTCTGGAATGAAAATCTTCTGCCTTTTAAAGTATACTAAATATACTAACTGATAGAAACTTTGGTTCACAATTATAGCTGTTCCTTTGTTTTGTTAGCACGTCAGAGCACTTTGAGATCAATGCATTGCTTCAGGCCTAGTGATGGAAAAAATGCACTGATCGATAGCAAGCCACCAACTTCTGGGCTGAAAGTTAGCTGTGTTTTATGCTAAGTAGTGCTTTCCCTGACTTTGGTGTAGGAAATAGTTTATGTTAGGAAAAAAATAGAACAGGAGGCTGAAATTATGGAAGGAGTTTTTTGTAATAAAGGAGGGAATCCTGTTTGTATAAACTGC